CAATAAATTAATTAAACGTCATTGGAATACGTGATTAAATTTCAAACGAGTGTGTGTGTGTGTGTGTGTGTATAAAAACGTAATTGTAATTAACGATAGGAAGGAAACGGGGTAACGTGCGTTAATAAAAAAAAAAAGTAAAATAATAAAAAGAAAAAAAAAAAAAAAGGAAAATTATAACAAAAAAAATGTTAGAAACGTTAGAAGGGAAGTTTCGCGTTATAAAAGAAACGTCATTTGGTTTGCAAGTAGTCTCTCGTAGTTTTAACTGGAAAGCGCTTATTACGAAGAGAAACGTGTCATATCCTCTAACAGGACGTGACGACATGATTCGTCGTAAGGTAACATCGTTTAGTTTGTATTATGGTTACACGCCAACGATGTTATACTTTTAGGTTTAATTAGAATTCATTAATTGTTTTAGAAAAATGTTGTCAGGTTAGTTTTTCATATAAAACGAAAGGTTCGTTTGAAGAGAAACGATGATCGATGGGGTTGTGATAGTCTTTCTTTTATAAACGGGCATAAGAAATGGTCTTACTATGATAGATATATCATTTGATTTATTTATCAGAGATACTTGAGTACTTTTTATTAATAAATGTTTAAAACCCATTGGGGGAAGGTATTTTCAATATTTACACGTTGTTATTTTCTTGTATTATTAATAGATCACGACGATTACTATTTATTACTCGTATTGAAACATATCAAAAACTCTTATGCAAAAGTTGATATAACATTTGAATCTTAATTAATCATTTTAATATATAATCAATTAGAATTAATTTAATTTAAATTAAAAAACGTTTCATATCCAAATCTCGTAACATTTAGTGTTAAATCCGTTAACATAATATAATTGTATCGTAAATGCAATTTTTCTCTTTTCGTAGAATTATAAAAAGAAAATGGTAAAGGTTAGGAAGAGAAGAAGGGGTGTTTTAACAAAGGTGTAGGAAGTATATTTCGCAGGTGTAGTTACGGTTGTTCGCAATCGTATCCATCCACACTGACGATTAAGGCTTAGAGGTTGTATAAAGAGAAATATAAGGATAGAGAAAGAGAGAGATAGAACAGTGTTCGCGCAGGTAGCTATTATTTATAGGTAGAACGTAGCTCGGTTGAAGTATAAAAGCACGGCATCTCTTTGGTGATCGATATACCGAGCAGCTTTTCCTGAGGGGTAGGTACCATCGACCCGCAGGTATGTATGTAAGGTAACCTATGTACGAGCGAGCAGCATGCAAATGGCGAATGGTGGCGTTCACCAGCAGCAAAAGATATTTCCCTTTGCCATGAGCCACCCTCTCACCCTCTTAGACGTATAAATTGATTTATCCACGCGACCGAGACGACGGAGTGCGTTCGGCAATTTATACGATGGGTGCATCGATCTCAATCTCACCCTTATTCTTCCCTCCATTATTTCCTTTTTTTCTTTTTCTTTTTTTTTTTTTTCTTTTCCTTAGACTACAATCATTTCTTTTTTCCTCTCCTCTCCTCTCTTCCCCGTTTACGCAAAACTTTCGTCTACGTTGTAATCGACTTTTTTTTTCTTTATCGTTGAAACAATTTGACTCGGATAAATTAGGATCATTTGCAGAAAAAACAAGTCATTGTCAAACGTAAAAACAATTTTATTAAGAAACACTATATTGGAGATATGAGAGTGTACAACCAAGGATCATTATTACAGATGGATATGACAAAAGATCATGATTTCCAAATAAGATGATAAAGGTAAATCTTGAGATATATGGTCAAACGAATGATCATTAAAAATGACAGTGAGAGAGATAGAGATAGAGATAGGGCTAACTAAGCGACGGTCTTTGGTTAAGGTTGAAATATAATTTCTTTTTTGTTTTCTTTTTTTTTTTTTTTTTTTTTCGAATACTCCCAAAGCGTGGGCGAAAGAGACACGAATAAGAATAAGAATAAGAAGAAGAAAAAGAGGAAGAAGAGGAAAAAGGCGAGGTCGGTGAGCTCGGTGGGCGTCCACAAGCTTGGCCAATTGGTCGATCGAGTTGGTAATGGTCGGTGGGCGTAGATGTAACCACGGATGCGCGACGGTTGTGCGCACTTGGTTGGCTTTTTAACAAACTCTCGTCAGGCTTCCTCTTCGATCTCTTCCCTTCTACTAATACTAATACTACTATCTATCTATCTCTATCTTTTTCTTATACCCTAAGTCAAGCTTATAGCAGTGTCAGTTTATCTGACTGCTGTGTGTGTGTGAGTACGCGAGACTTCTCAACCGGTTTGAAGGAACTCGATCGAGGAGGATTGGCGTGGTAATCGTGAGACCACCTCCTTCATCCAGGGTGCACCTTCAATCTCGATCTCACTTGCAAAAGAGGGGCAGCAGCAGGAGGAAGAGGAATAGGAGGGGGGTGGTGAAGAAGAAGGAAGAGGAAGAGGAGGAGGAGGAGGAGGTTGTTCGGTGGCACGGTGCGCGCTTCGAACGGGGATCGGACAATCCGCTTGAATCCCGTCATAGTGTGTTAAGAGAGAAAGAGAGAGAGAGAGCAGGTTGCTCGAAGGTATGAGAGAGAGAGAGAGAGAGAGTTAGAGAAAGAGGGTTCTCTATGGGAAATGAAGTGGGGAGGTGAAAGGAGGGGGAGGTGGTGCTGGCTGGGCGTCGCGACGCTTTAAATCTCTTACTCTCTCTCTCTCTCTCTCTCTCTCACTCTCTCTCTCTCTTTCTTTCTCTCCTTCTGGGTGTCTGTCTACGTGTTACTCTTTCTCTTTCTCGGGTTAAATAAACGGTGGGGGTAAGGCCGCTCGGAGTGCGCGCTTCGAACGAGTCCGAACGGAAGGCAGGCAATCTGCTCGAATCCGGCGGAGCGTGAGCAGCGTTAACTTTGCGTGGTGGTGGTAGTAGTGGTGGTGGTGTTGTTTCTCTTCTCTTCTCTTATCATCTCGCGTATTGTGGTGGTGGTGGTGGTGGTGGTTCTATTAAAGACCAAACAAAGATATATATTTGAGGAGAGAGAGAAAGAGAGAAATAGATAGAGAGAAGGTAAAAGAAGGGGTTGAACGTATCGGACGTCGGGACGCTTTAAATCACGATTACACCTCCACCAAATGATTGGAGGTGTGTGTTAGTAATGGGGTGGGGGTTAGGCTAGTCCGGGTTACGCTTCGAACGAGTCTCAGAACGGAAAGCAGACAATCTTCTCGAATCCGGCGGAACGCGAACAGGCGCCCCAAGTTGTGTGCCGTTAAGAAATAAAAGGGAAGGTACAACTGATAAAGAGAAAGAGAGAGAGAAAGAGAGAGAGAGAGAGAGACACGATATTAGGAAAGAATTGTTATTCATCGTTGTATTATATTTGTGATTGGGTTAGATAAGAAAGGGAGGAAGATCAAATAAAAATAGGATAGATAGATAGATAGATAAATAGGGATAGATAGATAGAAATTGCAGCGATGGAAGACGATCGGTGGAGCTTACGTGATGTTGTACTCCTCGTGTCACGTTGAAGAAGAGGAAGAAGAAAGCTCGCCACGAGCGAGCTACCCAACCTCGTCGTTTTATTATCGTTTTCGTCGATGTCGAGGACGGCGAGGAGGTGGAGGAGGAGAACAAAAATACAACGTATTACTATTACTACTATCACCGTCGGTACCAACGACGGAAAGTAGGAGGAAGAAGAGGAGGAGGAGGGGAAATTGGTGGAGGAGGAGGAGGAGAAGGTAGAAGAAGAAGAAACAAAATAAAAAGATTCGATTGCGTTTGTATTCTCTCTGTGGCCTGATGATACATTTTGTATTCCAATAGAGAACGCAAGAAAGCACGACACTCGACGTGTGTGTGTGTGCATACGTGTGCGTGTATGTTTTTTGTTGTTGTGTGTGCGTGCGCGCGCGCGCGTTAAAGAGGAGGAGGAAACAAGGTGCGAGGGAGGAGGAGCCGGTGGAGGAAAGCACTGGTGGAGGGGATCCAGCCGAGAGATCTCGTCTGGTGATGATGATCGGTGGTGGCGTCGCGAGCCCTCCTGGTGGTACTGCCAAGTCGGTGGCTGCGATCGACGCCGAGATGGTGCAGGTCGAGGGCATTGGCAGTGGAAGTGTCAGTGGCAGTGCTAGTGGTAGTGGTAGTCCCGCGACCGCTTCTACGAGACTATTAACTAATAATAATAATAATAATAATAATAATAATAGTAATAATAATAATCCTAACGCCAACGGCAATAGTAACAATAGCAACAATAGTAATAATAATAATAATAATAATACGAATTCTAACGCGACCAATAATAATAATAATAATAATCATAATAATAATAATAATAACGGGAGCAACGGAAATGCTAACAACAATAACGGCCAAAGCGGCTCGGACGTAAGTAATAGCAACAACAACAACAACAATAACGAGGGACACGCTGTGGTGAATTGCAGTGGCGCCGGTACCGGCGCTGCAAGTGACAAGTTTTGCTGTCACGACGAGGACCTTCCCGTCAGTACGGGTGTAACGCGACCTTGGGAACCACCCTCGCCGACCTTCTCCCAGACGAGGTCACATCTCATTCAGGTTCATCCGACTCATCATCATCAGCATCCGGCTGCACACCATCATCAACAAATGACGGTACCACCGGCTTCCCTAATCGACGGTGAGCTTATCTTTCTTTCTCTCTCTTTTATCTTTCCTCTTCTTTTTCTTTTTTTTTTCTTTTTATTATTTTGCATTCGCGAATCATTCGCGTGTTGTTCCTTGTTACGACACACCTCCTAATCGTATACAAATGTTTACCGCGTTCGTTTTCCTTTTATTTCTTGATTTGATGTACGCGTGTTTGTTGTGTACGTGTGCGTGTGCGTGCGCGTGCATATCTTGCTTGGAAAGATAAGTCGCGATGGTGCGCGAATCGCAAACAAAAGAAGATTTTTTAATTCCACGTATGTTAATTACGATGCGTCACACACAGGAGACCTGGGTGACCCACCACCACTACCACACCACTACCACCATCCGCGATTACCTTTTTTATGCATTTTGTTGAAATAATAATAAAAAGAAAAAAGAAATATAATATAAAAGGAGTGCAAAAGTATGAAAAAGAATCTACACGGAGAGATGTTTTGAAAAGAAATCGTGAAAGCGTTCGAAGAAGAAGAAGAAGAATACATGTTTCCATCTTTTGCACCTGTATACACTTTTCCAGAAGGATAAACGTTTTTGAAACAAAAAAAAAAATGTCAAATGGAAATGAAACGACGAGTAGTATACTTGGATACTTAATATCATCTTACTTGCTTGCTTGCTTAGTTACTTTACTCCTTGTGCCAACACATTTTCCTACTGGGAGTACTTAAGTACTTACCACGCATAGAAGATACACGCACAACACACAACTACACACACACACATATATATACATTGGCATTCACGGGCGTGATCGACGTCGATTCTTGACGAGACACGCATCCCCTATCCTCGAGCTATAATTAACGACGATTTAAGCAATTAATTTTTTTACCTTCCGGATGGGATCGTTCAGTTTCTTCTCCGTTACACGCATCTATACGGACTCCTTCTTCTCTACCACGATTTATACGATATATCTAAAGTAAATTGTAATTATTGCCATCTCAGAGAAAGAGATAGAGAAAGATAGATAGATAGAGAGAGAGAGAGAGATAGATAGAGAGAAAGAGAATCCGATTCTTCCTTCTTCCTTCCTTCGAAGATCGTGTTTTCGATTCGATAATTATCCGTTCTGTTTTTTTTTGTTGTTCTTCTTCTTCTTCTTGTATTATTATTACAAGAGAAGAAAAAAAAGGAAATGAAAATAAAAGAAAATAAATAAATGAAAGCAAATAGCAGCCAGCAGCATCAGTAGTAAGAGATATAATCGATGAACTAAATTTCTTTTCAAACGTTAAGTAATTTACGTTTTCAATTGTTCATTCCTTTCCGGTATTGCCAGTGCAGGAGAGGGGGGAAGGAAGAAAGAAAGAAAGAAATAAAAAAAAAGAGAGAGAGAGAGAGATTGTCTTTCGAGTCGCGTGTTAAACTAGCGTGACAAACGCGTCGTTTCATGCTTTTCGAAGTTCGATGTTAGATGAAAGATGCGTGGAGGTAAAACGGTGAAGAGGGGATGAAGGTAAAAAAAAAGATTTGGGTACTTGGGCGAGTTCGTTAATTGGATTTTTAACCGAGTCGAGAAAGGTCTCCTCTCTCTCTCTCTCTCTCTCTCTCTTTTATCACACGAATATCTTCGAACAAGATTAAATATTATTCGATAAAATGCGTATGCGTTCGGGTAAACTTAGCAACGTGCAAAAAAATTGTTCATTTGCCGTACTCACGCGTCGTTAATTCTTCTAACCGTATGTTTGTCAAAAGAATCCGTCGTTATTTTTGGATCATCGTGGTGTATAGATTGAGTCGTCTTTGAACGTTTTCGACGTGTACCCTTTTTGCATGAATTCAACCAAGCGTGTCAACCATGCTGTCAGAATAAAGAATCTCGTTCGAAAGTATCTTTTGATATATATACAACCGAACGCGATTCCAATTCAATGTTTCTTTTTATCTCAATTTCTTTCTATTTTAATTTCTTTCTCTTTTCTTTTCTTTTTTTTTCTTCCTTCCTTCCTTCTCCCCCTCCTCTTTTCTCCCACAAACTGATTTCTATTTCCCATATTTTGGCGTTGAAATTGCGTGATCAGAAGATTAGATTTGTTTTGGATGATTTAGTCAAATGACGTTTTAATCTCACACATGATGATACTTATCTAATAATTATCTTGACATAATGATTCATCTTGATAACTCGTTGTATATGAATAAAAATTGGAGTGTAACATAGATGGAATCGGTTTAGAATAATTCGGGGTGAAAATTTTCAAAGATTCAAATAAGTGCGTCCCCTCTCTGCCCACCCCCCCTCCCTCCGTTATTCGAGATGTTTAGAAGTAATAATATATACTCGTAGATAAAATATCGTTTACATGGTTATGATCTAATTTTTGTGTTCTTCTTTATCTCGTCGTGCTTCTTTTTTCGCACGTTACTTTGAAATTACTTTGTGCCACGCCCTGGTTCGTTCATTTACCGAACGAACAATCTATTCAAATCTAAATTAAATACTGTTTTTTTTTTTTGCCGTGTTTTTAATGTTCACATTAGTTTATTTATAATCGAAGGAATGTTTTTATTATTTCTTCGATCGAAGACGAGGAGATCGTTAAGGGTGTGGTGTGGTGTGGGATGATGGAGGGGGAGGGGGAGACGAGACGATTAAGTTTACGAAAAATATTCAAATATTTTCACATTTGTTAATGATCGAGAAGATAATGCTATTTAAGTACTGCAGATTATTTTTTATTATATATTCAAAGTTACTACCACATTTCATTTGTTAATTTGAAACGGATATGACGTTAAATTATTATTTTTCTTAACCGTGACGAGATTGTCAAGATGATTTATCATAAGGATACTTACTTTCTTACCCATATATCAAAGTTAAGAATTTAGATCGAAAGATTAGTAGGATTAGAAATGTTTCTATCCAGCGTTAAAAATTGTTTTAACGTTCTCTCATATGTAATTGATAAAATGTTATTTTACTTCTTTTGTTTTTTTTTTTTGTTAACCACGACAAGATGATTTATAAGGATACTTACTTTCTTACGCGTATACACCCCCCCTTCCCCCCTTCCCTTCCACATACACAAATACATTTAAAGCTTAAGAATTTATATTAGAAGATAATGAATTAGAAATGTTTCTAACTAATGTTACAAAAAAAAATAATTTGGTTCATTTTTAATTGATATAATATAAAATACATTTTTTGTTTCGTTTAACTATGACAAAATCGTTTCTCATGATGGGATTTATAAAGATATAATATATTTATTTCTACGTACACACACACACACACACACATATATATACATATATATATAGACATATATACGTTTCTAGAGAAAGATTGAAAAGTTTTTATAGGAGAATAAGCTTATCAGATCGCGCGCACGAGTGAACGTTGGGGTTGGTGCAGGAAATTAGCAGACGTTTTCGACGGTAATCTCTTCGGATCCGTCGCGTCCTTTGTACAACCTGTTCCCGAACTCGAGTGCGCTTTGATCCTTCTCGTCGTTTGGTTCAGGTAGCTGCCAGCTAAAATCTCGGATAACGAGAAAAACGTGGTCTCCATTTCTTTTGTGTTTTTTTTTTTTGAATTAATTTTTTTTATATATTTTATTTTTTATCCATCGTCGAGATGATTATTAACAGAAGAATCGTGGAATCGGAATCTAATCCTCGTTTCTATCGAAGAATCCCTTGATCAAACCAATTTTATAAAGTTTCGCTAAAAATTACGATAATTTTTAATATAAATTGTATTATGTATCATTGATTTGTATTATTTTTCAATGGTGTGTGTTTAACAATAAACGTTTATAAATGTTTCATGTATATGTATATATATATATTTCTATCCACAATGTATCAAATGATTCATCTTGAAAAAGTCATATATTTATCGATGTATGTATAACAAAATATATATCATTTATGTAAAAAGAATTTTTGACCTGTCATCGTATGTTTAGTGTTAAAGACGATGCACAAATATTTCTATGATTTATAACACAAATTGCGCATTTCTTTGATTAATAATACTATTTCAAAATTTCGATATAAGACGATGCCATAAATTGATGACAAATTAGAACAAAAATTTTCCAAATACCTATCACGAATATTATTTTTTCTGAATTATATTATTTCGATGTCACATTCTATGATTTCGATGCATTTATATTTCAAAATATTCTTACGATTTATAAAACTAATTTCTCAGATTAATATTATTTCAAAATTTCAATATAACACGATGCCAAATAAATGACGATAACTTTTAACAAAAAGTTTCCCCAAAAATATCACGAATATTATTTTTCTTTCGATGCACAACGCGAATATATTATTTTTCAATGTTCATATAAGACGTTAAACACGATAGAAAAATATTACTACGATTTATACAACACACACCAATTTTTCTGATTAATATTATTTTACAATTTTGATTTAATATAACACGATGACATAAATTCATGACAAATTTGAACACAAATTTTCCAAACACTCTGGATGAACCAGATGATTTCGATGTATTTATATTTCAAAATATTCTTACAATTTATAAAACTAATATTTCCCTGATTAATATTATTTCCAAAATTTCAATATAACACTATGCCAGATAAATGATGATAACTTTTAACAAAATAATATTATTTTTCCTCGATGAAAAATACGAAACGAATTAGGCATCATACGAAAGGGTGGTTGACTCGTATTTTTCTTAACTTTCATCTTCTTTCTATTTAATCTTTTTTTTTTATCACGAACTCTAACGTAAATAACAGATACGATAAATATATGTTAGTTGAATTTTAAACAATATCTAAGCTTATTGGTTCTCGTTCCTCTCTCTCTCTCTCTCTTTCTCTCTCTCTTTCTCTTTCTTTCCTTATTCACGTCTTTTCCATCAGCGGTGGTTTCGCACCCGCTCGAATACACC